GGACAGACCACAGGGTAACTCTGGTTAGTTTACAGCAGCCCTCAGGCCCTCACTCATGGAAGGCTAGGATGTGGATATTTGTAAGGATGCAGAGATGCATTCTAGGTGGGGGTCAGTTGTGAGCAAGGAGCTACATCTGGTAAGTGTGTGTGTGTTGAGGGGCAGGGAGGACCCCCTGCCTGGTGGGTGGGGTGGGGGTAAGGAGCAAGTAGTGGGAACAGGGATAGGAAGTCGGTGGAGCCAACGGCCTGGCTGAAAACAGGGTCTGCTCTTGCAACCTTGTCATTGGGTCTGACTGACAGGCTGGGGCATCACAGAATCAGAGAAGCAAGGTAATCCGTGGACACTGAGGGGCCTCCACAGTACGTTTTGCAACGTAGGAAGAGTGATTTCCTACATTCAAAAGAATGTTAGTAACCTACGCAAAGAATAAAGAAACGAGCACTCAGGTGACTTAAAAAGCAGAACACCAATACTACTGGGGCCCCAGGGGGCCCCTCCCAGTTTCATCCCACTCTGGTGAGCTGATTTAATTCTCACTCGACTTCGTTTGAGTTTTGTTACTGGTGAATACGTTCCTTTAAAGTATAGTCAGTCTTGCCTTTTGTTTTTTCACTGAGGTGAAATTCACACAACATAAAATTAACCATGTTCAAGTAAAAAATTCAGTGGTATTGAGCACATTCACAGTGTTAGGCAATCATCACCTCTATCTAGTTCCAAAATGTTTCTGTCACCCCAGAAGGAAACCCCACACTCAGTAAGCAGTCACTTGTCATTTTCCCTCCCCTGAGCCACCAGGGGAGCCTCTGCTCCCTGTCTCTATGGATGTATCTTTTCTGGGCACATCATACAATGATATGTGGCCTTTTTGTCTGGATTCTTTTGCCTCGAATAATGTTTTCAAGGTTCATCCACGTTGTCGTGGATGTCAGCCTCTCATTCCTATTTACAACTAAATAATATTCCATCATAGGGACACATCAAAATTTGTTTATCCGTTCAGCCATTTATGGACATTTCAATTGTGAAACCGTGGGGTCATGACTCAAACCCACTTCACCTGCCTTCACTCATCAAGGTCATTTTAGGACTCGAATGTTCTCCATGCAGCACGTGGCCTAAACAATAAGATGTTTGCCAGAGCTACTTTCCAGAAACTTAGAGTCAGCTGTGTCTAGTTGGAGCTGAGCTGGTTGAGACTGGGTAGGACCACTGACCCTCCAAGGAACATGCTGGAGCATGCAGTTCCGTGACCTTTGGATATCAAAGGGCTGAAAAGTCCACCCTCAGATCACGCGATGAACGTGCAGAGGCCTGCAGCTTAGTTGCACCTGTGCAGAATGAAGATTACCTACCCTTTCCCAATCACCCCACCCACGCCTCACCACTTGGCTGCTTTATTCCTCATCCCATGAATACGAGCCCCTTCAGAGAGGCAGATTTGAGACTTGTTCCTCTATCTTCTCACTTGGCCACCTTGCAGATTAAACCCTCTCTTTGCTGTGAACCTTGGCGTCTCAGTGGCGTCAAAAGGGACCTGGTTCGGTAACAGTTGTTTCTGTTGTAAGTGATGCTGCTATGAACACTGGTGTACAAACATCTGTCCGAGTCCCTGCTTTCAGTTCTTTTAGATACACACAGAAGTGGATCATATGGTGATTATATGTTTAATTTTTTTAACGGAAGTACTGGCGATTGAACCCAGGACCTTGTGGATGCTAAGCACACACTCTACCACTGAGCTAGATCCTCCCCCCAGACCATCAATCCTATTCCATGTGCATGTCTCTCTCTATGCTAGTACCATGCTGCTTTTGATGACTGTATCTCTTTTCCCTCTTTTTTTATTGACATATAGTCAGTTTACAATATTGTGTCAATGTCTAGTGTACAGCTCAATGCTTCAGTCATACATGAACATACATATATCTGTTTTCATACTCTTTTTCACCATAAGCTACTACAAGATATCAAATATAGTTCCCTGTGCTATACAGAATACACTTGTTTATCTATTTTATATATACCAGTCAGTATCTGCAAATCTCAAACTCCCAATTTATCCCTTCCCATCCCCTTCCCCCCTGGTAACCAAGAGTTTGTTTCCTATATCTGTGAGTCTGTTTCTGTTTTATATATAAGTTCATTTGTCTTTTTTTTCCAGATTCCACATATGAGTGATATCATATGGTATTTCTCTTTCTCCTTCTGGCTTACTTCACTAAGAATGACATTCTCCAGGGCTATCCATGTTGCTACAAATGGCATTATTTTATTATTTTTTATGGCTGAGTAGTATTCCATTGTATAAATATACCACAACTTGTTTATCCGGTCATTTGCCAATGGACATTTAGGTTGTTTCCATGTCTAAGCTATTGCAAATAGTACTGCTGGCTGTGAACATTGGGGTGCAGGTGTCTTTTTGAATTAAGGTTCCCTCTGGATACATGCCAGGGGTGGGATTGCTGGGTCATATGGTAACTCTATTGACTGTGCCTTTCTAGTGTGTTTTAAAATCAGGAAGTGTGAGTCTTCAATTTTTGTTCTTTTTTCAATACAGGCTATTCAGGGTCCTTTGCAAGCCCACATTTATTTTAGGATAGGTTTTCCCATTTCTTCAAAAAAGGTCATTAGAATTTTAAGAGGGATTGCATTGAATCTGTAGATTGCTTTGGGTAGTAATGCCATCTTGACAATATTAAATCTTCAGTCCATTAATACTGATGTCTTTCCACTTCTTTAGGTCTTCTTTAACTTATTTCAGCAATGTTTTGTAGTTTTCAGTGCACAAATCTTTCAGCTCATTGTTTGAACTTATTCCCAGGTATTTTATTCTTTTGAATACAATTGTAAATAGAATTACTATCTTAATTTCCTATGAGGATAATTCACTGCTGGTGTTTAGATACACAGCTGATTTTTGTATGTTGACTTAAGTTTTGATGTTTTTGAACTTAAATAGCAAGTATTATTTGGAGACTTGCTTTTTGTGCTAAGCATTCTGATAGAATTATCCACGATGATACACATAACTAATCCATTTATTTTTCTCTGTTGCATTGTATGCTATGAATGAAAATACCACAATGTCTCTCTTTAATGATGGTGAGTTAGGCTGTTTTCAGTCTTCTGTTCAGATGGGGATAGTCTGTGCATGCCCAGAAAATGGTTCTTAGCCAGGCTACACAGTAGAGTCAGCTGGCATGCTTGCTTTTTATCATTTCCAGCAACAAAGGTCCCAACCTCCAGAGATAAGAGTAGAGATTGGACATCAGTATTTTTTAGAAGATCCTGAAATGATTCTAATGTTCAGTCTGTGCTGAGAACCATTATTCTAGAGTATACTGTACACGCAGAAGTAGAATTCCTGAGTGTATCCCTTTAGGTTTTTTTTTTCCACATATAATTATTGCCAGCACGGCTGTACTGTACCAGTACAATCAGGCTGTATGCCCATCAGCAGGGTATGGATTCCGTTGCTCCACATCCCTATCAACACTTGGCATTGTCAGACTTCAGATTTTTGCCAGTTGATCTCGCATATGACCTTCATTTGTATTTCCCTAATAAATGATTAGGTCGCATACCTTTTCATATTTAGTGCCCATTCGTGTTTCCCCTTTTGTCAAACACCTATTTGTGTCTTGTGCCCGTATCATGTGTTTGTATATTCTGCATGTGAATCATTTGGTTGCAAATACCTTCCCCCATTTTGTGCCTTGCCCTGCCATGTTATTGCAATGTTTGTATTCGCAGAGTGTTTCATTTTATTGTGGGTGAATTTTTTTCAATCTTTTTCATTATAATCTGCTTTTACGTAGTAAGAAATTGCTCCTGGGGGTGGGGGGAGGGGGGATTGGATGAAGGCAGCCAAAAGGTACAACAGCCTTCCAGTTATAAGATAAATAAGTACTAGGGATGTAATGTACAACATGATAAGCATAATCAACACTGCTGTATGCTATATATGAAAGTTGTTGAGAGTAAATCCTGCGAGTTATCATCAAGCATTTTTTTCTATCTCTTTAGTTTTGTCTCTATATGAGATGAGGGATGTTCACTAAACTTATGATAATCATTTCATCACACATGTAAGTCAAATCATGATGCTGTAGCCCTTAAACATATACCGTGCTGTGTGTCAACTACATCTCCACAAAACTGGGAGAAGAAAAAACCTCTCCTGATTTTGAATCATGATATTCCCTTATTTTTTTTCCTAAAAATGTTTAGAGTATTACTTTTCATATTTGTCTTTAATCCACGGGGGACTGATTTGTGTGTGTCTGTGGTGTGCAGTAGGCGTCCAAGAATTTCATTTCTTTTCCATATATTTAATCTGTTCTCTTAGCACAAGTTATCAAAAAGCCCATCATACCGACTCCTCCCCTCCCGTCAAAGGCAGCGCTTCCTCTGATGGAACCGTGCTCATGTGTGCGGGTCAGTTTCCAGCTTCTCCGTTTGACGCTCCGTTTGTCCGACTTGTGGGTCTGATATCATATGTCTTCGTGTTATTCCTCAGGAGCAACCTGACGATTCAACATTGGTGGTTATACGGGTGTTCCCTGTAAAATTCTTTCAGTTTTTCTGCACGGCTGAAAATTTTCATAATATAATATTGGGGAAAAGAGTGTCATGGCTCCTCTGGCCTTTGCCCTTTTGTCACGATACAGTTTTTAAAAAGCCCAGTTTTCAGACTAAGCCAGCTCCCAGCAGCGGCAACTCTGGGAGAAAAGGACAAGTTTTAGGACAGTCCGTGGAACTTTCGCATTCCGGTGGGCATCGGCGATGACTTGCTGCTGGTGCGGCAGTGCTAGTCGTATTCGTGCCCATTTCACAGCCCAGGAAAGTGATTTGCCTGAACACCCAGCCTCGGGCCCCACTGAGGAGCTGTGTTAGCCGGGCATCCCTGGCCCCTCTCTCTACCCCTCCAGGACCTTTGCTTCAGTCTCCCCACTCCCCACCCAGTCTCTGGCTCGCTGTCTCGTGGAGAGATGGAGGCCCATGGAAGAAGTGCGGTGCGACTTGGCCCAATCGTGTGACCATCGGGCCGCTACAGAACAAAGGCCAGCCTCCAGACCCCCAGACGTTCTTCGTGCCTGCCCTTCTAGGGTGCCTCCTCCTCCCCAAGTAGCCAGCTATCTTCCAGCCATCTCCGTCGGTCTCCCCTCCTCCGGTCTCCGCCGGCTGACAACGGCGCAATCTGGCAGCGCCTCCTCTCTGACTTCACACGTCCGCCCGACGACCTGGGCTCCGCCGGGCTCCGCCGGGCTCCAGCCTCCTGACCGCCGGAGCCGGCGCTCCCCGCGGCCACCAGGGGGCGCGCGCGAC